AAGTCTGTCTAAAGTTTTAAAAAGTTCTTTCAATAAAGTCTAAATGATAAGCATTTTCATAGTTTTAACTGACAATTTTTTAAATGTTTCATAAAATAAAGGTGTGTCTTGTAATTTACTGGCATTTCAGATTCTATGAAATACAGTTGTCTCCTCACTAGCCCAGGGCTGGGTGGAACCTGGGGAAATCGGTTATTTTTTAATTTCCCCAGATGTGACGACTCAGCTAGTCATCCGGCAGGTCAGGGAGGCCCTGCCTTGTGCTACTTGCCCAAAATCTTAGACCTGTTCAGCACAGACTAACTTGGGCAATGAAAGACAATCAGTCTCATTACCTCACTTTCTAAAAAATGAATTTAGATGACTTTATAGAAAAATTTAGAACCCACAGATAGTAAACTATTTGCATTTTTTAAATTTCATTTGGTTTGGTTTTTTGAGTAAAGCTACCATTGGTATGTTCATCCATTTTGTGTCCATTTCCCGTTGGTCATTTCCATTGCCACATATTAGCACTTCTGCACACTTAGACTTCAATGGCCCATGGTATTCTCTTCAGCTGGCAAGTCATCCTGACCAGTCCCCTACTGTCAAACATTTATACTACTGCTTTTGAGATTGATTTCATTTGTTGTTACTACCATGGGGTATTATCCCAAAAGTGGAAAGAGAAGAGTTTCTACAGCTTATCACATTGTTAGACTGATTCGAGATACACAGAGAATAATTTAGTGAAAGCAATAATGTAAAAGTGTACCTATTCTCGTAAATTCTAGGTGACATTGGAATTTGTTACACTCTTTTTTCCTAGTTAAAAAAAATCATTTTTGAACTGAAAATACCACTGATTCTTAGCTCCATCATCTACTGACAGGGAGCAAGAGGGATCTGAGCTAATTCAGACATCACTCGGCTGTTTGCGCAAGCCTGCGCCATCCCTGGCCTGCCAACCCAGCACCCTCCTCCTGGGCCTCAACCCGTGATCATGACCCAGGCAGGAGCTCTATATTTTAATGGGGGCAGCAGTCAACTGGATTCCTGATTAGAAAACACCCCACAAGGAAACAAGTTAAATTTCTTTCATTTTGCATCAGGAGTCCCTTGGTAAAGGCTTCAGAGCTGACTGGAAACATGAACATAACTCGGGCTGGGGGTTCAGCAGGACAGCAGGAGAAAGCATGACTCAAACTTATAACAACATGGCACACATCCACTTGGTCCCAACACCAGCTCTATAAGCTTTGTTCTGTTTTCAAATTAGCCTCTTCACATGTACTCTTACAAAGCAAGTCTGTTATATTAATATTTGTTCAATATTTTTTTCCTTAAAATTAAAAGAACTATTGTATTCCCATATATATTTTTAATAGTCATGGGACCAATTTTCAGGTAAGATGTTTTAAATCAGGAAAATTATTACAAAGATGCCTCCTCCTCCTGCCCCCATTTCTAGGAAAGAATCAAGTAACCAATCTATTTTTAAGGCCAAAGCTAGTGTTTTCAATTTGTTTCAATCTTTGGGGCAAATACAGAGAAAAATATTCCATCAAGTAAAAGGTGAATGAAGAAAAGGCTTATTTTAGCATCTTCTAGGCAAACAGGGAATCAAACTGACTGGACCCACCTTCCTTTCTGGCCTAGTTCCCACCGGCCTCCAGGCTGGCTGTCCTCAGCATTAGGCAGCAGGAGAGATCTGGCTATGGGGTGCTCCTAAGGCTGTGGCTCCGGGCTGAAAGCCAGGTCAACCCAGGCTCCCTCAGAGGTTCCAGCTTCCACCCTGGCTCTCTTGGAAGTTGCTAATGGCATCTCTGGGACAGCTTCTGGGAGCACAGTCAACACACACAAGTGCAGGATTAAGAGAAGAAGGGCAGATGACCCATATTTTGCTATGAAGGCTGTGCCAGCCCCACCACTCCATTTTCCAAGTGTTCAAAATCAGCTCATTTCTTGAGGCACAAGATAGGGTCAAGGCCAGGGAGGCCTCAAGTTTGAAAAGGTGGAACGTACAGCAGAAAAAGACACTGAGTTTGTCTCCAAACCTGGCTTTTCTATGAGCTGTGTGAGCTCAGGCCAGTCACCTAAGCTCTGGGCCCACTTTCTCTTCTGCGAACACTTACCTAATCCTCACATGCCTCACTGTGACTCGACATCCCAGCTGTGGCTTCTCTTAACTGAGTTGGTGAGGTATAATTTCTGGCCACTCTGGGTTAAAAAGAAGTAGAGCACTGGCTCCTGTTCTCATGCAGGAAGACACATAGAGAGCAAAGGATGGGAATGGATAATGAGATGAAAATATGTGGAGGTAAAAGGCTGTGTAGCACCTTGAACATCAGGCCCCTCCTCCAGGCAGGGGAGATGAGCATGTGGAACCAGCTAGGGGAGGGCTCACCTGGAGGACACAGTGAGAGCCAGGCCAACCTGGGCTTCATGCAGCCCCAGGAAGAGAACCCACTTAAAAGCAGGTGGCTGATAGGCCATCTTTAGCTGGACAAGCAAACAACTCAGTAACTTTCATACCAGGTAGCATAATGCTATTGGACCAAGTATAAAGTAGCATCTTGAACCAAAAAATCCAAACAGAAGCTCAAAGTAAGTCTGGGGGAGTCAACCAGGTGCCTCAAGTGGGTCATAGGCCAAGGGCTGCTGCAGCCATAAAACACCAAAACAATGGGGGAAGGTCTCCTCCTCAAGTCCAGCAGCATGCTGCGGGCCTTTCACAGACCAGGCCCATGCTCTCCGCGATCCAAAGCAGTGGTGGCATCTTGTGAATGACACAGAGGCTCCTACAGCCAAGGCCCTCCACAAGCCAACAACTGACTGTACTGACAGAATCATCTGGATAAAACAATCCTGGGGTGTTAGCTGGAAAGAACTGAGAAATCAATGGGGAGCCAGGGACAAGGATTCAGGGCTCCAGAACTCATTGCTTTAACTAGAACAGCTCCGCTTATGTCTTAGATCTGGGGTTCCTGCATAAACAAGGAGGTCTACCCAATGTTTAAACTTCTGATCTCTCCCATCCCTCCAATGATGGATGGGTAGGAAAGAAGCTGGGAGTTACTGTCCATCAATTAAGAGACTCGGAGTTTTCAACTGCTCAGCCAGCACAACCGGACACAGAACGCACACACCCGTAAGTATCCCTCAGTGAGTCAGCTCACAGCAAGATCTCCAGGAACAACTTAAAGAGCATATTCCTGCCCACATATTAATGCCCATAACAGAAGACATTTTCCAAATATATCCTACTTCAGTGTTTCTTATTCACTTAGGAATTCTCACTTAATTTTCATTTAGTTTTAAAACTATAAACTATACTGTCTTTGTTGTTATAAAAAGCATCAGAATCTGATACATCCATACAGATCCCTTTACACATTCCTCAAGTCCAGTCACCTTACGCCTTGCTACCAAACACCTAGCACCTTCTCTCACTTGCCAATGTCAACCTCAGCAGTAACAAGAGAAGCCCAGACAAGATAACCTCCAATCCCAAGACACTGACCAACACATGTTATGAAATCGGCATAGCCGGAGGACCAGCTCCTAGATCCATCAAAGTTACTCCACAGCCAACCAACTGCCTCCATCAAAGTCCCACTCCTCCCTCCCAAAGATTTTTTTATGGGGCCTGGGTCATTCTCAAGATAGTCCTGGAAGTCACTCCTAAGAGTAGAAACCAGCACCAAGAATCAACATGAAAACACCCACTCAGTGCATCAGACATCTCTTGAGGGGACCCGAATTTTCTTTACCCCATTCCACACCTGCTGTCAATCGCATGTCCTGTGTCAGAGCAGAAGTGATATCTGAAGCTGGCCTTGTAACTCTCTCAGGATGGCAGAAACCCAATAAAGCAACTTCAATCCTTTTTTTCTGTGAAATTTATTGTTTCCACATTAAAAGATTTTTTGAGGGGAAATATTTTCTTTTTTTTTTTTAACCATATTATGATCCTATATAGCTGCCCAGAGTAGGACACCATCATAAGTCATTAACATGCCATATGAATTCTGAATAAATAAAAGCTACAAAGCCCAAGTTATATACAAATATCTTAGGCAATAATGTTTACAAACCTATGTACAATAAAACAAATGTAAACAGTAAATGCAGCATGAGAGTAATCAAAGGATGCACACGAACAACCACTGACGGTCAGACTGCCCCCCAGGAGCCAACACTGGCCAGCCCCTGGAATCAGGCTACCCAACCCTCCCTAACACAACTGGATAGGCCCTCAGGAGACAAACAGAAACGCTCCTAAAGATGTCACTTAACTGAAGGACCAGAAAGCTGGTGAGAGGTTGCCACTGCCCCCTACCCCGAGTCTGAGGCACGTGAGGAGGAGACAGCACAGAGGCACAGCCCTGTGTGTGCCCAGGCCCCAGAGGCTCCTGCATCCGGGGCTCGGACGGGCACTTTGCTGCTCTGGAGGCAAGTCTATGGAATGATAACTGCTAAAGCAAAATCAGAAGGTGCAGAAAATGCTCCCTATTTCAGTGACCTTCCTGTTTGCTAGCAACAGGCCCATACCGTGAGGGGTGGAGTTGGGAGACACACGATCATGAGCATTGAAGACGCCTGGGGGAAGCTCGGGAGGAGGGCACAGGTCAACCTGATTTGGGAGAGAACTTCTAGAAGATCTGCAATGTCCTAAACACAACTAAATCCTATCAGTACAGCAGGGTGGGGGTGATGAGGCAGGTGTGATGAATGGGAACTTCTGCATCCAGTGACCAAGTAATACACATATGTACCACCTTGTGACCCACAAAAGTGCAATCATGTGAAACCAGCGGCACTACGGCAAGAAGAGAAAACAGCCTGTATTGATATTGCGCAGAGGTCCTGGGGCTGGGCAATGCCCAGCAGCCGCCACTGCATGCAGCCTGCCCTCTGCCAGCCCTAGGGAGGCAGACGGAGGGGCACAGGCTGGGCCCAGGCACCAAGGGGTGAGGCGTGGGTGTTCTGGATTGTTGGAGGGCAGGAACCCCCACCTGCAGGCAGGCGCTCACACACTGAGAGGCAGCATACCCGGGGCCGATGATGGGCGCGAGGAGCCCAGTCCAGGAGGAGGAGGGGCTGGGTCAAAGCCGTTTACTGCCCTGTGGGGTGACCAGAGCAGAGAAAGGAAGGGGGAAGAGAAAGAGAGACTGTCATTTAAAATCACTCGACACTCGGCAAAAAAATCTCTTACTGTCTAACACTATTCCTCGTCTGGGCCCACAGAAGAATCCTGATGACCCAAGGGAGAGTGTATGCCTAGAAAGCATCAGCTGGTTAGAGACCTGAGAGTTCAGTGGTCCTGTGGTAACACGACGACGTGCTCTCTTCTCAGCCACTGCAGCCACAGCCCTGATTTTTTTGCCATGGTGCAGGCAGCTCTAATGCCTGCCAATAGGGAACCTGCTGAAGAGTGGTGTAACTAGAAAATGAAGTATTATATGGCCGTTAAAGAACTGTGTGGAATGTGTTTTTAATGGCATGGGAAAATATTCAGAATATAATCAATGCTAGGTAGAAAAAGCAGGTTACAAACTGTACATGTTCAGTGATGTGAAGAAAAAAAGTACATATTCTAGACTCTGAACTATAATCCTTTATATAGACAGACATTACTATCTATATAGCTAAATCTAGAATGTGTGGTGATACACACACCTACAAACACATATACATAAAATGTTATAGAAGGAAAATCTAACAATACTTAACTTTTCTTCCCTCGGGATTATAGATAAATTTTGTTTACTACATTATACTTTTTTATTGTTTTCCAAATCTCATACAATATACATGAATAGCTTAATGAAGTAAAGTAACTTCAGAATTGTTTAGCAAGCAAAACCAGATGGGTAAGTTCTCTGCAAACTTGTGAACAACAAACCATCCCAGCACGAGAGCCTGCAGGCAGGACCCAGCAACGCAGCATGCCCCAGCCCCAGGCCCCCCACCAGGAAGCGGAGCCACATGAAGCAGTAAGGGAGGGAGTGCAAGACCTGGAACCTCTCTCAGGAAGCCTTCAGCCTTTCCATACTGAGAAACTTTCTAGGAAAATTTGTCCCACTAGCAATTTGGGAGAGGCAGCCAACTGCAAGAGGCTGCACTGCACCACACGTGCCTAACACTGTTCCCCCACCTTCTCATCAAAGGGGTCCAGAGGTAAATACAGACTCATGGAGAGAGGTTCTCTTAAAAAACAAAGAAGAAAAAAAGAAAGAAAATGCAGCCACACTTTCCCCACAAAGAGAACTGTTTCATACTTGGAAGAGGTGAGTAATCTCACAGAGAAACAGGCAGGCAAAGACCCCTGACAGATGACCCTTGTTTACTTTGAAGAAACAGAGGTAATGTTCAAAGAAACTAACCTCAGCATATAGATTTTGGGTTTGAAATAAAGCTAACCACACTCAGGTCAAGAGCAACTGGATGGGCTCTGATGAATGGAACGTCTCTCTGCTATACACTGTCCTGCCTCAGTGATGCACACCCAGAATTTCCGCTTTTCCTTCTGAGCTAGAGAAGAGGTCTGATATTCTAGCTTCATCACATTAGACACTGTCCGTTCTCCCACAGCCACATGCCTGTGCCACTTCCAGGGGTGGAGACCACATGCTATGTGCCACTGCAGCCCTCACACTAATAAGCACCATCTGTCATTTGTCTGGGTGTTCTCAGAGCCCCAGTGCCTCAGGGAGATCTAGGTGGTCCTCACAAATGGCCTCAACTTTGAACATGTGAACATCAGATTCCCAGCCTCTCAGAGCACGACAGCAGGCAAGGCAAGCTCTGCTGGGCTCAGAGAACAATCTGGCACCTGTTCCACAGAGACATGCAAGAGCAGCAACAGTGAAGGCTCCACATGCAGGTTTAGGACTGGGATTCCGGCATTTTCAAGCTAGGTGGGCCTTAAAAATATTAAGAGCATCTCCATTGTTAAGCTGCTGAGGAAACAAAAGAAAAGTTTGTCATTCCCCTGAGCTCATCCCGTGAGCATGTCAGTGGGGAAGCAGGGCCCATGACCTGCCTCCAGATACCCAGGTCATTATCCTTTCCAATCTCCTCCCGGTCAGAGGACACTAAACACCCTCTCAACACAGGTCAGCAAAAAGGGAAAAATAAGCAGCACAGTGCAGAATACAAAGGGGAGCAGGAAACTTTATCAGTGGTTCCTCTGTGTGGATGGAAATGGGAATTCTTGATTTGAAAGCTGGATGGAGTAGAGAGAGAACAATCTGCCAGGGTCTTAGCCCCTGTCTTCTGAGTGCAGAAGTGGGAAATGGAAGACCAGAGGAGGAGAAAGCTTACCCTCTACGTGAGATTGTATCAGTCTGGTGAGGTCCCTGCAGGGAACTGCAAGTTGTACAACAGGGAAAGGTTTCCAAGGGAAGAAGCACCTCCGTATTCACCACGCAGGGAGCAGCAAGGGACAAAGGGAAGTATCCCAGGACAACACAGAACCGAATGAGGAAAGAACAAGGCAGGGAGGGAGATACAGATCTGGGAATCATCTACATAAAAAAGGCTCCAGAAGCTATGAAAGTTCACAGTCTTACCACCAAAATCTCATACAGAAGTCTGAAAAACAGAATTCAACCAAGAACAAATACTAAGGTCAGTGGTAAGATGGCAACAAAAGTAAAAAGGAGAATAGAACCGACAAGTTTAGAAGCTGGTCTGAAGGCCAACAGATCTAATGCTATAGGGATAATGCACAAGGACAGGGACGTCCTGGGAGGGCAGCAGAGAAAGGACAAGGGAGCGCTGGAGCCACCTCCGTCATGCAGGCAGACCACTGCACACCCCAGTCTCCCCAGATGGCCAGATGGAAGCTCAGCGCAGCTTCAGGTAGCTTCTCAAGACAGGCACTGCACACCACACTGTGCCCACCTCAGGAGTAGGGCAAAGCTTACACATAGGGCCATTTCCATCCCAATGTGCTCAGGACAACAAGAGTGGGTGGAGAAGGGACAGTCCCCACACAGCAAGGCTCCGTTACCATTAATGCTTGCTTGGAGAAGACAAAAGGCCCTGGGCAACAGGAAGAACCCTATCCCGTGAAGACAGTCAAATGTGGTCTCAGGTCCTGACAGTGACTCTTAGCCCCCAAGTTTGCAGGCATCATCACTACAGCATCTGACCCTACATCAGGAGAGCCACTGGCCAGCTGTTCACAGCCACTACAGGACTACTACAGCTAACTGGTTTTGGTTTTGCACAGCTGAACCAAAAATAACAACATAGTCAAGTCAGACAGGAACTTGAAAGCTCACTGACAGGCTGTAAGTTGGTTAAAGCAGAGTCAGACCCATGCAGTTAGTAAAAACGGAGTGTTAAGATGTCTTCTACCATACACCATGATTAAAAATGAAAAAGCACAACAAACAAATTCAGTTACCCATGAACAACGTGGGAAAAATGACTTTTTCTTGCCTAATAAAAAAAAAGGAAAAAACATTAAACAGTAACACAAACACTATTTGCACACCACACCCTAAAATTCATCTATGCCCACCTCCACACAGCCCAAAAGAAATCAGACCGGCTTACAAAAGTCCAAAAGAAATCAGACCGGCTTACATGATACATAAGAAACTAAATAAAAGCTATGGGAAAAAAGAATGTTTTTGAGAGAACTCTAGTGGCTGAACTGCACATGAATTTGTATCCTTTTAGATGAGCGATATGAAGGGTTATTAGCGGTTGAACAAACCGAGCAACACCTGAGAGGTAGGCCCAGCAAGTCATATTTTAGGAGCTGGCAGAAGTGGTCACAGATTAGATAAAATCCTGATTCTAAGAAAATCCTCAAACAACCAGAACTTACAGAATATCCTCAAATCATAAAGTAATTTATAACAATAAGGGTATATTGTTTTATGTGTTAAGGCCTCACTCTATCTGAAGATTCTTAAGGAGGCAAGAGGGTGAGGTGTGTGCACGTACATTCACATAATGCACATGCACACAAACCTACTCTGATTAACTTTCTCCTAAACAGTGCTCCTACAAGGCTCTTGGAGAGCTAGTGACACTATACTGACAGTGCTTTAGACACACTCCTCAGGAGTGAGAGACAGGGCCGGCAACTTCTAGAGTTGAAGGCTTTTTTTAATGGAGTTTTTTCCTCATCCTGAAACTATAAGCTACACTTTACACTTGAGAACTGGCATTTTTTTCTTTCAACCTGCTTGATTTAATAATGGAGCTGAGAATTGGGATATCCCCCTCCTACACTTCCTTTCTCAGCTAGTACATACCACTGTGGGTTTTCTCTAGTCAGTAGGTCAGCAGGAAGAAAGGCCAGAGGTAAAAAGCCAGGCAGGCCAGAAAGAAGCCAGAATCAAAGCAAAGCAGCAGGGCAGCAAGCACACAGCAAAACCCACAGGTGAGCCTCAGGAGTAATGGCAGCTGGGTGCACGTAACTCAAGCAATAGGTTAATACTTAAGTGTTTGTAATATACGTGTCATTTATCATATAAACTAAACACTTGAGAAAAGGCTGGCACACAAAAGCATATTTATTAAAAGAAACACTATAATTAATTAAATATTATCTGTAACCATTTCTACCAGGAAGCCCATTTCCAGGTTCAGTTCAGGAAATTAAGCCTACATGTGTGTCTATACCATTCCTCAAGGGACAGGAGCTCTTACAGTGCCCAAAGCCCACTCCTGGTTTCAGGTGACTCTGAACCCTTTCCATCTACCAATCACTGCGTTCACCTCTCGGCAATTACTGCCCCAGAGCTCCGCAACAGGGGCCAGGTGGAAGAAAGCGCATAGACAGGAGCAGTGAGCCTGAACTGAGTTATCCTTCCTCCAGCATGACACTACAAGCACATTCTACGTGGAAGGGCGTCTCTCCAACCAACCCATATCTGGTTCACACCTGTTCTCATGTCATAAGGTATCTAGGGCAAGAAATACCATTCCACATAGAGAAAAACTACTCTACTGGAGGTAATTACAAGTTTCAAGGAAAAATAATTAGGTACTATTTTCTAACATTAATTAAGACTAGCCCTAAACTTTTCCTGCATTGTTTGGAGGAAATGGCAACTTTAATGTAAAATATCTATTTATCCCATTTGCCATTACAATATTAAAATGGGCACTCAAGGTTGTCTGAAACTCCTAAACCTGAAAAAAATTAATTTTATAATTGCTCTCCTGAGGAACTCCAATGGTTAGAATAAAGTTCTGATTTATATCTTTATATTTTAGAGTATATTCCTTAATAAAATATGTATACTTTAAAGAAGAATGCTGTTAGGGGACAGAGGAAAACCCAGAACACTCCCCTCCACAAAGGTAGACAGTAAGAAGCTCTTTAGAGTGGATAGTACCAAATCAGGTCCTCTACAAATATGCCATTGTTACTGAAGAGAGGAGAAAATACAAACTCTTTTAAGAAACTGAAAATTTCTAGCATTGTATCTGTATAGTTTTCACAGAATGAGAATGAACAGTCTCTATGGCTCAAAGTAGAGACAGTGGCAAGGGACCAGGGTGCCACAGCTGCTGTCCCAATAACAGCTACCTTAGAAAATCTGGGCAGCATCCCTGGACCACAAGTACTAGAGAGTTGCTACTAGTTAAGGCACACCCATACAAGAGTATAAACATGCCATGTTTTTTTCAATTGAGGAAGAACACTGTGTACTGACATGTAAAGATATTGGCAATACAGGTCATGATAAGCATGTTGCAGAGCAATATTTAAAGTGTAACTCCATTAATCTTTACAAGTATACAGAAGCTGCATAAAAATATTTCAAATGCTTAGAAATAGCTATAAGGATGCAAAAATAGTATGAAAACAGAAAACACTTACTCTTAATATATTTTATATACTTCTGTACCAACTGAAACTTTTTTGCATTAAGGATGTACCACTGCTTCAATCTATGACAATTTTTTTTAAATTCTCAATTCCCCTAAAAATATCTTCACATCATACAAAACTTGTGCCTCCTAAACAGGATTTGATCCAGGGTTTTATATTTTTTCTAAAACCTTCAGCCAGGTTTATTGCAAAGTCTGCATATACATGATCACCATGTCCTTTTCTACTCTTAACAAATATTTGCCAAGGAAGTCTACTAGCCTGAAAGTACCCTGAAAACAAAGGCCATATCATAGTCATCTTCAACCCCCAAAGCCCAGCACTGCAGCCTCTCAAGAGTCTGCTTCCCAGGACAGAAGCTTCAGAGCCAGGTTTCTCAGGGCAACAGACTCTGTGGGGACTAGAATTCAACAACAGATTTCAAGTCCCCTAAGATCTGAAAGATATCACTTTCAGTAAGTTTATCAAACTGAATTTACCTTCGCAAAATTCAATAAGCTCAATAACATGCAACTTTAGTACTCAAAAAATTACTGTTTAAAATTTCCAAGACTTACCCTTTATCAAAGAAAGACGTATGCCCCGATCGAGAGAACTTTGTGCCATTGCCATTCATCACCCCACAGTTAACATTCCCTGAAATATAGGATTTTCGTGATGCTTGGTCCTTTGCAAAATTTCTGCAAGCTGCTAATTTCAATTCTAAAGCCTACAAAAAGAAAAAAGGAATGATTTGGTTGTCAAAACAGTAGCTGTACATATGCATTTGCATTTCAAACCATTTCTATTTCAAGACTCAAACTTCTTCCTCTTTCAATTGATACTGGTAGCTATTTAAGCCATAATCAATCACCTTTCTAACAGAATGTTTATGCTGACCACCTAATGAACTCAGAATACTTTATTCCTTTGAGTATTACTGAGGGATACAAATGGAATCTCCACCAAGAAACTATGAAAAATGTGGCACAAGTAGACAGAGACAGATCCCAGGTCTCTTGACCACATCCATGTTTCTTTCTGGCTTGTAGATTATTTGGTTAGTGGGCTAGTGTGGTGGGCGGGGGTGGGGGGGTGGCAGTAAGCACTATAAAGAATGCAAGACCATCACTTGAGAATTTTTGTTCTATTTTGGTTTTGGTTTTTAGAGCAGGTGAAGGTTCACAGCAAATTTGAGGGGAAGGTATAGAGATCTCCCCCTGTGCCTCCCCCACTACATCCCCAACCAGAGTGGGACATGTTACAACTGACGAACCCCACCTGAGGATTTTTTAATGTAGCCAATTCTTTTTCTAGGGCTCCAGTTTAGTCGGCTCTACTCCATCAGAATGAAGAAGTGCATTTACAACACCTCACATGAGGTTAGAAGCTATTCTACTTCTGAGAACAGACTATAAAATGTCTAACTGATACCTTCTGTCCATAATTAAATAATTCACCTGAAAATGACACTGGCCTTTTAGCATCTACCTCTAATCAGGTGCCCTTCTTAGTACCTGTCACAACACCTGGCCACTGCCAGGCTCTACAGACAACATGAAAAGAATAGGAGTTTCCCATCTATTTCCATCACACACAGATAACACAAACTCCACCTTTCCCAGAAACACTTAAAACAAATCAAACCTCTCGCACTTCCAAAAAAAGGGAAAATATAATCTACAGTGGGGGAGACAAAAAATAGTCCATTCTTATTATCCATTACACTAAGAGATTGGGAATGTACAGATAAATCCACAGATAACATATATTTCACTTTGAGAATCCTTCTCCCACAATTTTATTAAGAGCTGTTAAGAAACAGTAGCAAAAACAAACTGAAACTTCCTTCTCTTCTCCTTTCCTTGAACGAAGTCCAATGATCTAGTAAAGTAACAACAGAAAGGAGGGAACGAGGGACTGGGTAATAACCTTGTTGGATAAGCTCTGAATAAGCATTATTTCAGCAATTTGTTAAATATCCACATACACAGTAAAACTTGACAGCCACTAATTTCCACTATTCAAGACACTCATTCAAATATCTGCTGAGCATCTATCATACAGCAGGTCACGGGCTGTGTCTCAGAATCAGTGAGACATCCACGTACAAGTACTGTGTCTGGCACTCAGGGGAAAAGAGCAGTCTAGAGATCAAGGTTTAGAAGATATCCACACCAGGTAGTAGATAAAACCACAGTTGTAATAATACAGAAAATCAAGAACAGAACTCTGAGTAAAATCTACTCACAGGATGGGCAGATTAAGACTCAACAAGATGGCAAAGACAAATGGGCAAGATGGCAGGAAGCAGACCTGAGACAGCATCAGAGAAGCAGAAGAAAGAAGGAATTCCAAAAAAAAAAAGCTGGTGTTGAATATTTCAAGTAAAATTAGGACAGAACAGCATCCACTGGATTGATTACGCTGAGATCATCAGTGAGCAATTTTAGTGCAGTGAGCGGGCACAGGGCCCAGACAGGGTGTCTCGGGAGTTGTATGCAGTCAAAACTGCTAACAATAAATGGAGGCATGCTTTCAAAGAGGTTGGCTGTGAAGGGAAGAGAGAAATAGGAGGAGAGCTAAAGAGAGATGTAAGGTAGAAGGGAAAAATAGCTGTTTTTATTTTTGTTTACAATTTAAAAATTGTGTAGTATGTAATACATATTACATATAAAGTATATATGTGTATAACACATAATGGGTAAAACATAAATGTTACATATAAACATTAGAATAGAGCACAAGGCTGAAGATATTAGAGACATGAAGATGAGGAAGCTGGAAGGAATGGGCTCCAATGCAGAGGTACAAAATTAGCCAGGGGCAGGAATATGATACTTTTACCACTGAGCTTAAAAGGAAGAATGGCTACAAACAGAGGTAATAATAGGAGAGTAATAAAAGAAGGTAAGAGAGGAAAGCAAAGTTAAATCAGTTGGCCTTGATGTCTCCATGGAAAAGTATGCAAGAGTGGGGATAGGGCTCCCCATGCAAGTCAGAGCGTAAAGGTAGTGCAAAGAAGCAGGAAACAAAATCTTCATGAAAGTATTCAGGGGCTGGCAGGTAACCGCAGACCAAGAGTTCTAATGACATCTCAGAAGGCAGACTGTCAGGTGAACAGATAAACCATGCAAAGACTCCCAAGTTCAGCTTTCATGTACCATTTCTGAGTGAGTTAAGGTACCAAAGCAAAACAAACAAGGAACAAAGAAAGATGACAACACAAAGTCCAGAAATACACAGAACTAACCTAAGAATATAATGAAGAAAAGTCCAAGGGTGACAGCAGTGCAGGCCTCCTAAAGCATATCAGAGCATTCAGCAACAAGTGTGAATAGGAAGCTGAAGATATGAGATACAGCAACCACTATATCTCTAACCACTTTCTAACCACTTTCTAACCACAAGGAAAAAAAGGCAATTAAGAACTCTAGGCATACAAGTCAGCTACGATACAAACATGAAAAAAAAATGATTTTGAATTAAATGATAAAGAACAAAATGCTTGAAACATCTGTTGAGCAGCACAAATAAAATGATTCAAGAGCCCAGCTACCCCTCTATGATTATGCAGTAAATAATATATACATGGGCATAATACTGCAGATGCTGTCAACTAATTTTCAATTTTCAGAACCACCTAATGTAGTTTAAGAAGGAACAGAGAGGCACATACAATAGGGAGCTGAGATATATCTAATAAATTCAGAAACATTAGACATGTTATTTAAAGTTATAAAAATAACCGAAAGAAGAACAAAAAGTAAAAAAACTAGGGGTATGTGAGTTAAATTCATCTTTTTGCTTAAAGTTAATAAGTGCCAAAAAATAAGCACACTATTTTGATTATACAGGTACATACCACAATTCTTAAAACAAACAGGATTTAAAAATGGTTGTTAGGAGTGAGGAATGACTCTGTCCTCTATGAAGCGATTTGTGCACATTACTTTTTCTACTAACAGTAAAACGCAGATTTAGAGTTAATCCAATGGTCAGAAAATAAGTTGACAAGCCAGAAGAGGTAAACAAAGGACTATGTATCTTGGCCTCCAATTTCTTCTTCATATAAGGTATAATGCAATTTCTGCTTTTTTCAGAAAGTGTCTCACACAAAAAAAGTAAATAAATAAGAGGAGCAGTAGATAGTGGGAAGTTTCCGGGGCAGATTATTGAAGAGAGAGAAAAGTCACTGAGGGAAATAGGAAAAGGAGCTAATGCAAGAAATGTTCACTTTATAGTGGCATAAATCCACGATTACTGCATCCAATGATCTGGATGTAGGGAAGGAGAAGTCCAATTGCTTAAATGATACAGAATGCAGGTCTCCTTCATGGTTAAAGAGACCATGGTCAACAGTAACAGAGTAAGCGATCTGTGGGCTCATGGATGAGTAGGAAGAAAGTGAAAGCAAGAGATGGCTAAAAAAAAAAAAAAAGTACTAACTCTGGAGAAGGTCAAAGAGTAGGTATTATACAAAGTAAAAACTGAATAAGCAGAAAAACAAGTTAAATATTTCAAAAGCCCAACTGTTCTGGAATACAAGGTCAGAGCCAAGGAGATAGCACAGATGTTGAGGTGGCCAAAGAAACTGGGCATGACTAAGAGCAGGAAGTCTTGTCATGTGCCAATGCTAAAGTCCTATAAAGAAAAAGCTCAGGGGATGGTGGGGGAATGGTAGCAGCAAAGAACAGAATTAGTGATATAAAACACACAGCAAGCCTTAGAGAGGAAGTATTTGAGAAAAAGGTGGAGGAGTCATGAGGTAGAAACAGCCAGGTGAATAGGAAGAATGCCCAGTGAGAACCGGGAGCTCAGCATGCAAGGCCTCCTGCAGAGGCACTGACAAGCCCAGGGCCTGGTGGTGTTTATCTGGACCAGTCTCTGCTGGTCACTGGATGTTTTTGCTTCTTAGCTTAATTACAGCCTTTACTATAGGAAAGTATCCTTTTTTTCCTTCCCTCACTCCAAATGAAGAAATAATTCAACGCCTTGGCAGTTGAAACACCTAGTGATAGATAAATGATTGAATGCTTACCCCTACTTTCCGTAAGAGATCCCCCACAATGTTTAGTGCTGATATCCTAGCAGAAGGAGTTAGTGGACTGGTACCAAAACCGTTTGGTATAGCTGGAGAAAAATAAAAAGCAAGTGATCACATTTGCAGTTCCCTTTACAGCTGTTATTTTTTTACTGCTATTAAAAGCAATATACACTCAGTGAAAAATTAATATAGTATTCCAAACTATGAATAAAGGATAAAGTAGAAGATACCATAGATATATTGAGCCATTCTCCAAATGATATTTAGATTATACCCAATTTTTGACTATTACAAATAATGCTACAAGGACATATATCCTTAAAATATCTAGACATGCATTCCTGGAGAAGAGATTCCAAAAAAGAGAACTGCTGAGTCAGAGGATACGCCCAATTTTTTCATCATAATATACACTGCCAAATGCTCTGCAAAACTGCTGTGCAGATACCATAAATCTGTACAGGGGTACCCTCAATATTAGGCATTATCTCTCTGGGGGGGGCCCAATTTGATAATGACTTTGTTTTAATTTGTTCCCTTAGTAAGCAGTCATTTGGATTTCTTCTGAAAATCGTGTTTATCCTCTGCACTTTTTTCTACTGAGTTATCTTTCCTTTAATTACTTTGCAAAGGTACTGATACACAAAGAACTCTCCCTTTCTCTTACACATGTTGTATTTCTCAGTGTGACATTTATCTCTTAAACTTTGTGTTTTGATGGGGGAAGCCTGTGTTTCTTCACCTCAATATTATAATGTTCCCCATATTTTCTCCTAATCTTTCCCTAAAATTTTCTTTATTTAGATCATTTAATTCATTAAACATCTAAATTTTTTTCCTCCAAATAAACAGCCGATTGTCCTAATATCATTTAGTGAAGATATATCTTATCTGAAATAAAATAATATCATATACTGAATTCCCTCAATATTTCAATTCCATTAAATTATAAGTCTACGCCACCAGGAATATGATGCTTTAGCTATATTTTGGTATCTTAAAGGACAAAGCCTATTCTTGTAATTAAACTATTTTAAAATTTTCTTGGCTATTTCTTGCACATTTATTCTTTCAGAGAAATTTTAGGAGTTTTAATAGAAATTTAAATTATTGATTGATTTAGGGAGAATGGGTACTGCAACAAAATTAAGTCTTCCTACTCAGAACCATAGCATTTAGCCTGATAGTCATTTACCTCTTTGTTCATGTCCCTCAGGAAAGGTTTTCAGCTGTGCACATTTCTTCACTTTATCTTTGAGATAATATGGCATACTGCTTAAGAGCTCTTGGGCTAAACTGCTAGATACAAATCCATCCCTACCATTTAGTCACTGTGTGATCTTGAGTAAGTTGCCCATATGTAAAAGAGGGCTAATAATAGTATTTATAAGTTTTTATGAAGTTTTAATTCATAAAAACTTGCAGTGTACTGGATAACTGCAGTTTCATGATGACAAGGTCAGCACAGACCTAGTGAGAGTAGCAGGTTAGAGAAATGGGGGGCACGACTAAACAGCTGATCTCTGAAATGGCCTGTCTTTAATTGTGCTAAAGACACAATTAATATACTTTTATTACATATAGTTTTTAAAGTTAATATACTTTTTAAATGACTAGCACATACTAAACTAAGTACTCAATAAATATTAGCTATAGTTTTTCATATTTTCTGTAGAGTGCTTTCGTTGCGGCTGCCTCTGCTATTGTTTATTGTTCCTGTCCTCTAGAATATACACTCACTGAAGGTAGGGACTTTGTCTTATTAATCACTATAATCCCATTACCTAGAATATTGTATGGCATATAAAAGGTACTCAGTGTGATATAAATAAATTGCTATAATTTTCTTGGCAGGGATTTCTGGATCTCGTTTTTCCCTATCCTTCTCAAATTTTGTACTTAGGTATTATTAAAGGCATGCTTCATGTTGCATTACCTTAAATGCTTTTCGGAAACAGGCACTGTACCAATAATACCCAATTAAAGATAGACCCATTTCAGAGATGAGCTCTTCAAACGTGCCACCAAATCTTCTAACTGCTACTCTCACTAGGTCTGTGCTGACTTTCTCGTCATGAAACTGCAATTATCCAGTACACTGCATCTCAGTCCCAGTGTAATAATGTGTCTATCTGGACAAACATTACTGCCTTAGGGTTGACATATCTTAATTCTAGGCCAAAGCAAACTCTGTATCCTTTTGCCCTCCACACCCATCCCAGCCAAGTCCCTAATGAAAACTCCGACAAGCTATAAAAGAATGTGCACCTCTATTTACAATAGTCAAGATATGGAAGCAACCTAAGTGTCCTGTCCATCGGTAGATGAATGGATAAAGAAGAGGTGATACATATACACAATGGAATACTATTCAGCCATGAAAGGAAAACAAATCCTACTATTTGCAACAACATGGATGGAGCTAGAGGGTATTATGCTCAGTGAAATAAACCAGGCGGAAAAAGACAAGTACCAAATGATTTGGTACTCATTTGTGGAGTATAACAATACAGCAAAACTGAAGGAACAAAACTGCAGCAGACTCACAGACTCTAAGAAGGGACTAGTAGTTACCAAAAGGGATAGGTGGGGGAGGGTGGGTGGGGAGGGAGGGAGAAGGGGATTGAGGGATATTATGATTAGTACACATGGTGGGGAGGGGTCACAGGGAAGACAGTGTAGCACAGAGAAGACAAGTAATGACTCTGTGGCATCTTACTACACTGATGGACAGTGACTTAAATTGGGTATAGGGGGGACTTGATATGTGTGAATGTAGTAACCACAATGTTTTTCATGTGCAACCTTCGTAAGAGTGTATATCAATGATACCTTAATAAAAATAAATAAATAAATAGATAGATAGATAAATAAATAATATGCGCCTCCTCTGGGGGTCCCTTCAATGGAGTCTCTTGACTATTCTGATTAGTACTCAACTGAAGAGTTTTCAGAACTTATCTGCATAATGTTAATTAGTAACAAAACCAAAACTTTGTTAATTCTCAAATGTTAGTAATTCTGAGGCCTTCAAATACACAAGCAGCCACTCTGAAATACGGACAGAGTGAACTTCTGATGACTGTTATAATCTATATCCTGCCTGCTCTGTCCTCAGTAGGAAACTCAGCATATACAGTACAATTAATAACACTTTATGACTATGTAACATTTTTACATTCCTTATCTAATTTTACCTTACAACATGGTGAACACAGAATGAGTCATCTATTTAAGGGCTACTGAGCACTTGAAATGTGGCAAATGCAACTGAAAGACTGAATCTTAAACTTTAATTCTCTTAGATTAATAAAAATTTAAATAGTTATGGTTAGTAATTACCACACTGGGCAACACTAATACAGAGCACTTACTGCACTAACTGCCCAGACAGAAAAACCTTCTCATACCAAAGATAAAGTCTATTTTTTTTAAAGGGGCAGGAATAAAGATAGCTTCAATAAGAGGAGAAAAAGTATGGAGGAGCGGGAGGAGCTGAAATATGTTATGCAAGCGGCAAAAACTAAATAAATCTGAATTGAGAATGTCAGGGTTCCAAGCTCAGGTTCTATCTAGTAGCTACTAAATGGTTTTTTCTGTTTATCTAGGTTAAAAAAAAAAGCACATCGGCTGATGGCAGAAGGAACACTCTCTTTCCACGTACTACTCAGCAGTTGCTCTGAATGTCACCTTTGAAAATGGCAGCTGAGGCATGTACCAGAATGGACATGTCCATCAAAGCCAATCTTACAAGAGTATGAACATAACTCGATGAGTCTCTGCACATTCTGTGTATACAGACTTCTAGTCTTCCATGATACATTAAGTGGCAAAAGCAAGAAGTAAAACTTTGTTTAAATGATCCCAAAACTCGTATGTAATAAGGAGATGTTCACACAATAGAAAGAAATTCAAATTGTTAACAGCAGTTTAAATAGTTAAGACTGCAGATGGGTTTTTATTCTTTTTTAAGTTTTTCTACATGAACATGTATTACTGCTATAATAAAAAAATTAACTTTCCTTAAAAACCTTTAACTTTTTAAAATCTCCATTTATTAAGCTGCTCTTAATTTCAATGTGCCATCATCTCATTGTTGCCTATGAATGAGTGGCCTAGAAAACCAATCCCTTCTTCTGCTTCACATAATGCTAGATTTAATCAACTTTTAAACAAAATTATTGCTTAAACTTTAGCAAGCCCTGCTTCATCAGCAAGTCCGCTTAAATTGATAATCTACCACAGGTTCAAAAAGAAGACAGTACAAACCTTTTGGTGAAGGAAAACTATTTTCCATTCCTTTGCCAACAGGAGTGGCTGGCAAAGAAAGTGACGCTTGGACAGCAGAATCCATCTTTTCACAGTCTAGAGTTGGAGAACTAGGAGCTGACTTCCTGGTTACTTCCTGTTGTCTTTCCCGAACTGCTAGTTCTTGTCTTAAGTCTGTAAAATGTTGCAAAGGTAGCAACACTCGTTAAAGGAAGCAAATACATCAAAGTCACATCTGAAATACCATTAAGACATCCTTCCTAAATTACTATTTCTCCAAAATGAATTTCTTATTTATTTCTAGGGGAATAAAAATGACAACCCTATTGTCTAATGATCTTTTAGAATTTAAAAATGCTATAACCTAAGAGAACAGTTATCTATGCCCATATGCAAAAAGAAATAGGGAAGAGTCCAAAGTAGAACTCAGTGAAAGTATGTATATGAAACAAAAATAAATACTATCAACTCATTTGCTTTTATTTTGAAATGATGTAGTTTGGGGATTACTGCAACATCAACCAAGTACATTTTATAATTTTAAATAGGTTGATATTTTTTATACATTTTTAATTAACCCATTTTATCAAAATGAAATATTTTATTTCAGAAAGTATTCAGAATAGTTGCAAATTTTCTGCTTTCAAATACTAAAATTTTTAACCCAATGTTAATGTTTTCTTTTCTAAAATTAATAAAACTGACATGTAGGAAACCTGCTTATGTTAAAGAAAGAAAACAAAGTTACCCCACTTCTGGATATATATCCAAACGGATAAATGGATAAGCAAAACATGATATATACATACAGTGGAATGTTACTCAGACTTAGAAAGAAGGAGATTCTGATACATACTACAACATGGATGAACCTCAAGGACACTACACTAAGTGAAATAAGCCAGTTACAAAAGGACACACACTATGATTCCACTTAAATGAGGAGCATAGGGTAGTTAAATCGATAAAAGGCAGAAAGTAGAATGGACGTCGCCATGGGCTGGGAGGAGAGAGACTGAGGAGTTATACTTTTATACACACATTATGCATATGAGTATATACTTTCCTTTAAAATTCTCCTCCCTTCCCTCATTTTTTAATAAATATTCCTCAGTTTTATGACCTATAAAATGGGGATAATAATACCTACTCTCCTAGAGTTGATGATGTATTAAGTATTTTAACACATTAAAAGCACTTACTTAGTACAGTGTCTAACAAAAGTATATAAATGTAGCCAGCTTTAAAAAGGCAGCTAGCTTAGAACTCTGGCTTAGGGACAGTAAGGTAATGGATACTCTTTAAGTTATAATTTTTACCTCTTGCTTCATCCTTTAACCTCTGCACAGAGACCAACAAAGATTCCTTTTCATCAAGTTCACTTTCTAAAAATGCATTTCGTTCAATGGCCTGATTTAGCCTTTGTTCAAAGTCTTCCAGTGAAACTATTGTTGCCCTAAAAAAAAATGAGTCCATGAATTAAATAACGTGCAAATAGCTAATACAAAAAGAAACTGTCAGTTTGTCTCATGACATTTCCTGACCTAGAAAGCCTGTCCCATGAAAGAGAAAGATCTCACCCCCCTTCTGACCTCCAGTGGCATTTAGTATTACCTACTATCATTTGATATGGGGCCATTCAATATGGTCCCATCTCTTACATTTCCACCTAAATTCTTTTAAATTCCTTTAACGAAGGCCACTTCTTACACAGTCTATATCTCCCCATTGGATTTTAAACACAATACAATCAAGTTTACACATTTTCAGGAAGAAAACTTTTCAACAGTTGTAGAGTATGTAAGGAATAACTAAGGATTTGTTAAAAACACAAAGCCCCAGGTCCCACTCCATTTATTTCCTATCAACTCTTCATACTTCATTTCTCACCTTACTCAGTTCTTCAACAAATATTAACATGCACCTACTATGTGCCCCCTGCTACAAAAATAAAATTCCCTAACCTCGTTAGAACTCTTAATGCCATGTTCAATTATATTAAGTCCTGTCAACTATCAAAATGTCATTCAAATTCCATTTGCTTTCCTCCAACCTCTGCCCCTGGCTTACTTCTTTATCCATCACCTAAAATATTTCTAAATGGTCTTTATATCTCCTCCTCTGTACTTCTAATTCTTCAGTATTAACTTCTCAAATCAAAATCTGGCATTACTCCTTTGTTTAAAAAATTCTAAAGAGGGGGAAGGGGAGGGAAAAAAACAAATTCTAAAGAGCCCCCACTGCCTATAGAATGACTTTCAAACACAGCAAACAAGGTTCTTCACAATCTGGCCCCAACTACCTTCCAGTGTCATCTTATTCAGTCATATTGTCTCTATACACATCAATCAGAGTAAAATATTATTATTATATCTCTCTTTACCCAGTTAACTTCTAGCCCTCCTTGCAGACTCCACTTTAATATCTGCAAGGGCTTCCCCAACTCTCCCAGGACACTTTAGCTGCTCCCTTCTCTACAGCCTGGCATACACTCTTTTCCTAGAATAGTAATCATATGAGATGTCCACATCTGTCACACCCAAGGGCGGTGGTTAGCTTATCTTTGTATCCTGAACTCTTAATATCACATCAGGCATTTAAAAGTCACTCAAATATTAAGAAAAGGAACACCAGACAATAATTGTAAAGTAATACAAATGAAGTTTGGAATGGTTAAGAAACAACAAATTGTAGATATATGAAAGCAACAGTAACAGGAAGACACTCTAGGTTGTTCAGCAAAATCATAATGAAAGCAATATTTTGAGCAAATTCATTAATATTAGAACAGAAGAGAATGAAAAGAAGAAAAATGTAAAAACAGATCAGCTAGAGAGTAACAGCAGAATTCAGGTATAAGATGTGAGCACTTACAAAAAGTGTGGTAGTATTGAGAACACAGAGGGAAAGGTTGAGGAATGAATGAGATGTGTTTTAAAGAAAAACCAATAGGGCCAACAATGATACACGAAAGAAAAAGGGAAAATGGAAAGAGAGGCTTGGAAGGGCATATCTGGGGAGATAAGGATTTTTGGTTAGCTTCAATGCTGAGTTACATGTGACATGAAATACCAAAAGGTAATATTTCAGGACTAAGATCTTAGTGATAGGTTGAGCCTAAAGACACAAGAGTTTTACTGACTGCCAACTTTGGTTATTCTAAGGAAATTACACACCATTCATTTACCTTTTTGCTCGCTCCAGGTCATCATTGGCTTGCTCCAGCTCTCTCACATACTTATGCAACTGCTCCTTAATGGCCCGAGTCTGACTTAAATCGTCTTCTAATACTGAGACCTGCTTGTAGCTCTGTGCATACTGATGTTCTAGCTTCTCCTGAAGGCATGTGTATAGGAAGGAAAATGAGTGTTATTAATATATAATTTTCCTTAATGAAGGATATAACCCAAATGAAGGGGGTAATCCAAGAAATTCACCCACAATCCGAGCCAATATTACCCTTCTCCTTCTTAAAATATTCTAAAATAATGACACATTTGTTCAACGTGCCTTAACTCATATAAAATTTAGAGTCAACCATTCTCCTCTCAGAAATAAATCTAATAATGATCTCTCTGAAAGAAGTAAAATAATGAAACTTTGCCTCAAAAACCCCAAACTTAATGGGGGAACCTCCGGGTTCTCAGGCTAAATGCAGCCCAGGGTAAGCACAAAGAAGTAGGCTGCCAATCAAGAGTTCAAATTCCCTACCCTTTACCTGCTCATACCTACCTTCCCCAAAAAACACACACTCCCCAGGAACAGAAATTCCCTAAGCATCTGACTAAGCCACAAAAGGGGTTAATCCTTTTACTCCTGAAAATTCCTTGTAAGAAGAAAATTTTTTTAACCCAAACTAAACTTCAAAAGTAAAGGATGAACAATAATGAAATAAATGTGAATTTCATACAAATGTAATTTTAAAGTACCACTATCAAAAATATTCAGGCAGCTTTTGAAAATTATAGAACTACAAACTACAATACATTATTGTAGGAACATTATAGATTAAAAAAAAACTAACAGCTACAGAGGTTCTAAGTGAACTCCTAACCTCTAAACTGCCTTTCCCTTAGTTTCACAAAAAAAAAGTTTATTTCAAATATTCACTTTAAGCCTCCTTTTACCTAATCATTTGTTGTTGCCTATTCCTCTTGAGACCTATCTGAAAAAATATTTCTCATTTTAATAAACCCAGCACATGACACCCGCTTCTACTACCACAATTACCTTTAATGACTCCACTTCATATTTCAGTCTTTGGTTATCAGCTTGCAAGTCTCTATTTCTTTGTTCAGCCTGTACTAACTGTGCCTCCAACTCTGCTTCTAATTCTCTGCTTCCTTCCTGGAATTCAACTAGCTCATCCCGAGCTTCCTGGAAGCTAATCAGAAACAAAATGGGGAAGTGAGTTATGCTGGGAATCATTAAGGATCATCTTTAAGATGATTATGTATCAATTCAATAATTTTGCTTGAATGATAATGCTCTCATAAGATACAGAACACAATAAAGACAATCTGTTTTGCATCTCTTACTCTATATTCAGGGTTCAGTGAAAATGGGTTATAAGGCCCAAAAGAGATATACTCACTCTTAGATCATTCTTATTTAATATATTACTAAAGAAGCACACATTACTGTGCCACAAACTAGTCCACTACCATGATATAATAACCAGCTTCTTCGATAACAACGGAATAGCAATAAAAGGTTTGATAAGGCTTAGTAAACTCTGTTAACCAAAGTAGGAAAATGTATATATGTTTTAGAAAAATTCCATTTTAAAAAGAAATTTGTTTTGGTGTTTAAAAGGTTATCTAAAAGTTTTTCCAAATAAACTGAGGTTTCATAAATCCTCCACACCCCTGAAATTCTTCTCCCTCCCTCAAAGCTCTGCTGGCTGCAGACACTGGTAACACTTTCCTGAAGAGAAATAAAGTCTGCTGTATGCAGCCCCAGACAGCTTATCAGATCTCCCAAAGACTAAAATAATGAGACAGAATCAGTGCACACACAGGAGGCCAAAGATGGCCAAGTATAATAATAAGCATAAGAGGAGGTAAAATAGCAGAGTAAATCAAAAATAACACTATTTTCTTACTCCTTTAACAATCTGAGTAATATAAAGATTTATGGCATTTTTATACTATTCTCAAATACAAGCAACTCTATGACTATTTCAAGAATCCAAACCTAAATCTGACACTCTAAATTTAAAAAAAAAAATGCACATGATAGAGATGGCATATTCCAAATACCCTCCCCTATTTTAGGATGCATTTCAACATTACCTTTGTTTATACTTGAAGGAAAGTTCCTTCCAATAAGCAGTTTCCTCTTTTAAACTAGAAAAATCTGGTGTGTCTTCACCATCCATGATCAAGAAAGTCTGTGGAAAAATTAAAGACAAACATAAATTAAATAGACAACATGAGAATCTAAGTATAAAACCTGGCACAACACTAAATCTGCAGCATTCTAGAGGGAACTAAATAGAAAAGACTCCAAGAGTGGTTGATTATTATAACTCAGAAAACATAAATCACTTCACTTCCCCCCTCTCAGGAACCAACCATATTGTGAATGTGGTCATGATAGGGGAACAGATTAACAAAGAATGAAGCACTTTGCACTGAAGCACTAGGCTCTGGGTGAATGAATGGTCCCACAGAATCATCCTGCACACAGGGCTCCAACAGCTGGTTTACAGCCAACTGGTCTTCTGGAAACCAAGTGACTGAAACAAGCTTATTATCACAGCTGATACTATTGCATGCCCTTCTCTGCTGTACAACTGCTTCAAAACACCTGCATGAAACATTTTATGCCAACTGACCCTACTAGGAAATTAGACACCACATTCCCAATAATTTACTATTATTATATTTCTAATAGTAGGAAATTAGACACCACATTCCCAATAATTTACTATTATTATATTTCTAAAATGTAGAAATTAAGTCTGCTAATCCCCCAACTTCAATGTTCTTTTGTCTCAATTCTTCTCCAAAGTGTTCAGAGGTGGAAAAAGTATTTAGTTAACCTTACATTTGAACTGACTACCTAAAACTCCTAACTGATTGTCAGGCTAGACGGAATACCAAAGACACTTGGCTTGCTCTAGATTCAGGCCTAGAGCATTTCAGTCTTACCTCCTACATCCCCCTCCACAAGCACCCCACTTCATATGCCAGCAATAGTGTTCAAAATAGTCTTAGCACACCATTCTGTTTCAAGCCTGGATGTTTCCTCTGCTTGAAATGGCTCTCCCTTCCTTGTGTATTTGGAAAGCTCCTACATGTCCTTTAAAAGCTGTCATCTTTTCCAGAAAGGCTCTCCTGCCCTCACTCAGATATGTGCTAAAATCTCCGACACTCTTGGCTACCTCTATACCCTTTACATGCTTTCATGATATAGCACATAGCAATGCATTTGCTACAATCTATGTCCTCTACCAGTCTGTATATTATTATTCTTTATATCGCAGTACAATGCCTGCACAATAGATACTCAATAACATTTATTAAATTAAACCAAAATTGATTCAGCCTAATCCATACTGGGCAGCAAGAACTAAAGACCAACTTTAAAAGTAAATTAACCAACTTGGGAGTTTATCTAGCACTATCCATTCATAAAAGTTTAGCAAAAGCCACACACAAAGACAAATACAGAGCTCCAACTTCAGGGTGGGATACCAAAGAGGTACATGAGTGAAATTCCAGTTGAATAAAATTAAAATGTAACTTTATACATTTAGCTTAATTCCTTTTAGGTCTACTGCAATTTTTTCTCATTTGGTCAAGTCTTTGCTGACCACACCATCTATTATTCCTTTTATTTAATGACATGTTAGTCAATCTTCCAATTGTCTTAAATTACCAACTAGCCTAAAAAAAGAGCCTTTGAAAAGAGATGGACCCTTGAAATACTTTTCATCCCTTCATGGCAACAATAACACTTTGTTCAAAGGAAGCATATAATGCATAAATATGTGTCAGACATTGTTAAGTACTACATAAATATATAGTACTCCTCTCATCATGATTACTCCCACACTGGCACACTCTTCTATTATTTTAATCTTGCAGATACACCTATAGTATGACAGCACAACGTAAGCCTCACAGTTGGGAGTCCTATTGAGACAGTTTTCTAGGATTCCAATTCTGCATTAAATTCCTTAAGCAATATGCTTAATCTCTTAAAGTCTCAGATTTTTCATCTAATGAGAGTTTAGGTTAGGTGACCTGTGTTTCTTCAAGTACGTATAACAATTAATAAATAATACTAATTTTATGATCCTATCCCTTCACCCAATGCCCATTCCGTTTTCTCAGATGTAGGGATAATCTTATTTGTAAATGTAATTTAAATTTGTAGTAAGGTGTGAATGAGGATGAGGCTAATCTAGCATCAACAAGTGTCTGTATTTCAAAAGAATATCCAAAGCACTTGAAGGCATCATCATGTAGTATCAACAACTCTTTGAGGGGAGGGACATATTTCATATTAACAATCCAGATGAAGATATAATTACAAGACATGTGAGAAGCTCTAGGAATGAGGCAACAATCACTGTGTCCCTTAAATGTTCTACAGAAAGTCTCCCAAAAATGCCCCCAAAATTATTGATTACATTTGAAATCTATGAAACCAGCTCTCAAGAAGCTCTTGGGCGTTAGTCCTCAAGTCTGGATGGATGCACTTGCCAGCTGAACACTGACAACCATGTACCAATGTGCAGTTCAAAAACATGCCACTTTTGATACACAAGCCAATAAATTATGGCTTTGCAAACTGTTACAAAGATTAGGACACAAGAAGCAAAGTTCTGTTGCCACTTACTCTATCTTAAACAAGAAACATTTGAAGAGAAATGAAATTATTCTCTCCAGCTAGTTCCAGGAGGGCAGGACTTCCTTCCTGTCTTACTTATAATTCTTTCTCCATCTCCAGAAACATGGAACACAGTACAAATTCAACAAAAACTTGAACTGACATATAAGTTTTCTTTAATAATTCCCTCTTCACTTTTTAAGTACTGCTTTCCTTTATTAGTATCTAAATTCCTATTTCAGGAATGGAGGATTTGTGCATTGTTTACTTCTACCTCACAATACATCACTATGAATTAAATAAGGATTATAAAACCTATCATTCTCAGCTAAACAAAATTATCAGTCTGACACATGCAAGGCTACATGCACAATCACTTAGAAAACCCAGTGTAGTAGGCTCCACATTAAATAGGGAGCTGATGGGACTTACTGTGGAGACCCTTGGAGATACCACCTGCTACCTAAAATAACCACTGTCCAGCCCTTCAGTCTTACATATTAATGAACAACCAAGAACAACCAGACAAATGAGAAAACCCAAAAGCATGAATAAGAAAATCCTAGAACCTATTGAACTGAGAGGAAACAGATAATTCAGGAAATGAGAGAACTTTTTTCTCATGTAAGAACTCTGGAGGGTTACCTCCCAAACACTTCTGAGACAGGAACAAAAGACGAGAGAAAACCAAGATGTGGACAGCACAGAGTACAGGAAACAGTGGCTCCAACCCAGAACTGCAAGGAAGAGATGTCCCAAGATGAGGCCCACCTAGTCCATCAGGCCCAGAAAGTAACTCAACCAGATGGACGGCACCAGGAAAAATGAGGAATCCCATGTAACAGACAGCATAAATGGGAAGATGGATAAATCTGAGGTTGTGTCAGTAAAAAAAAAATTTTTTTTTAAGGCAAAAAGGCAAGTGGAAACTAGAGGAATCAAAACAGTGTAAGAAGGTCCTGACCCTTACCTTTATATAAAATATTTTATATATTTAAATATTTTTAATTAATCATAAAGATTCAAGTCTAACATTTTTAATTTACTGATTCTATATTACTTTATACAATTGATATAAGTTCTCTAATTTTATAGCCACTAACAAATATTCCATTTTTCATCTTAAATTCACTGTGTGTTTATGTGTTGCCCCCTTGTAAAATTCCAGGATTTGGTGAACAAGTTTGTTTTCCTTCTCATGCCCTTTCTAATTTTGTAGATTGTGATGCTAATACTTCTCAACCTTGATCTTCTCAAAGTGAGTATTTTTTTTCTTTTTAGTTTATACTTGCTTGGCAACCATCTTGGTCCCTAAAATATGTTCACTATCATGCTTTGGACTTTCTCTGGATTACTATATGCCTTTCTGGAATTGAGGGACTGGTGCTTCTTTGGTATCTCAATATTTTATTTGTGAGTACAGTACTTTTTAAATTGTCGGTACTTTTTCTCTTACTATGCACCAATTGATAATACCGGTGATTGTGTAGTCCATGGGCCAGAGTCCTTAAGAAGTTCATAATGACTTCCTTGACATCTAACATTTATTTGAATGTATTTTAATGTGTAGCCAATCCTTCATCAAATAGGATTAGGGTTGTTTTTGGTCTATAAATGTTATCATTCACATGCACAGTTTTAAACTTTTCTGCGTGAAAATGTTTTTTCTTGTTACTGACCCATTTATACAGTATTAGAAGACCTATAGCAGTTATTATTTGAAAGAGTAATTAGCTAAGTGGTGTTCCCTGAGGAATCTCACTGTTTACACCGCTGGGTGTACTATAACGTATCCATTTGTCCCTGTCTTTTGGTTCTTGAATAGGCCCATATTCTTAACACAGCTACCAGCTTTTTCATGTGTTCGCTGACTCAGGTTTTAAATAGTCTTTCATGTGAAACTCCTTGAGTAGTAGTTCTGTTTCTTGTATCCTCCTTATCCAACTACTATGGTTAGTGTCAAATAGTTCAAGCAAAATTATTTTTTTAATATGTGTTTTTATTTCACACAGCTTCTCTATTTATTTGCTGAATTTTATGTAAACTTAGTTTGATGACGATTTTTCTAATTAACAGGCTACTTCTACAAATTGCTTACCAACTCCTCAAACAGTATTGTAATCAACACCAGAAAACTTACTGAAATGACCATCATCAGAACAAACCAATTAAAAACATTTAACCAGGTAACTTCTGGTAGAAGTAACACAGCATAGAAGTTGAGAGCCCAAATCCTGGGTCCAAACTGCCTGGTTCTGAATCAGATTCTTCTACTCACTAGTTAGGTGACCTTGGGCAAGTTACTCAACAATTCAGGGTCCCATTTCCTCACCTGAAAAATGGGGATAATAATTAAAATAGGGTTGTTGTGAAGATTAAGTGAGTTAATATTACTCTTTACTCAGTACAGAGCCTGGCACATAGTAAATGCAGCATAAATTTAAGTTATTTAAAAAATGGTAGTTCATCTTTGAAGTATGACCACAAAATAAATGTGCTTCAGAATTTATAACACACAAATATGACCACCATTACTGAAAACATTTCTAAAACCTCTTTTGGAATAGTCTTGAAGTGCCACATTAAAAACTAAACAAAAAGTTCTTTCTTTGGGGTCACACCTCATTTTTACTGCTTCCCAATTGGTATCAGCCAGCTTTACCACTCTAATTTTATTCAACAGACTTAACCTTTCCAAAACTCTGATTTTTAACAAAGAACAAAAATTTGCTACTACTGCAGATATTCAAAAGACCTTTAGAAGGCCTGTAAAGACAGTCTATTCAGTTTGCTTCAAATTACAGTGGAAGGATGTGTTCATTGCGTTATCTGAACTATGCAACTGGAGACACTAAGGATATATAGAAAGTTAGCCAATACAGAAAACTATACTGCTTAAAAAAAAATGTTTTAATGATTCATCGATGATGTTCTAAAGCTGAAATGAAGGCAGATAATTATGTACTTTGCCCTGCTACCCAAATCTTCCCTCAATACCATGTCTCATATGGTGAATCTCAAAAGTATGACAACTTTTACATACATGACCTTCAGATATCTAACAACAAATCAGTTCACTTGGGTATTAAATAGCCTGTCCAAAATGGTGTAGTTACAGAGAAACTACTTTTTGTGCAATCCATTTTCTATGATACTGTCTTCTTGTTAACAGTTGTACAATGGACTACTGAGACTGGAAGAGGTCTTTTGGAACTCACTTTTTAGCAAATTCCTCTACTCCCAAAGGTGATATTTACAGAATTTTTAGCTTTTCAATAAGTTAATCATAAATACCATCTCCCTTTTGGCCCTATCACTTATTTTTCTACCTTATCAAGTGCTCAGAAGTACATCAGAATTAATTTTAAGCTTTAGTAACCAAACTCCTCTCAGCATTTTTTTTTCTCAGCATAATTTAAAATAAGAATAAAAACAAGTTTTACAGATGTCATGAAAGCAAGATCTAAGCTTTCACTTAAGTTTCCTGTTTAAGTGTTCCTGATCCAACTTCAATTTAATTTAAAAACTCAAAACAGAACTAAAAAAGAAGAGCTGCATAAGATTAAGCAATTAGGTCAACCCCGCTAAAAGTCTTATTATCTCTGATTTTACATAATAATTTTAACAGAAACTCGTAGGACAGCTTTTTATTTACTCAGTTCCCCTTTACTTCTTTTCAACCCATGACTTAATGTGGAACTTTACCTGACCTTCATGATTTAGCAAAGCCATTACCTTACTTCATAAGTGCATTTAGAGCAACACAATTTATCGGACAAAATAATTAGCCAGCAACCCGTGAACGTTTCAGAGTAGGATTTTTTCTTATGCCTGAATAGCAATTCTTTTTCTAGATGAGCCTGCTCAAAAATACTTGAAAAACTCTTTTACTAGCTACTGGAATATTTTCGGCAAGTAAAATGTTCTGCTTTGCTTTCTAGCTGAAAAGGATATAAAAACTCCAAAGAAAGGAACCATTAACTCCAGCCTAAATTTTTATCCAAGAGAAACCACTCACCAGTTGGTAGACTCCACAATATCAATCACTGATACCCCACCCCCACACCACCCAGGCTCAACTTCCCCATCAGTTAAACGTCCGTAACAGAACCAGGCACAACCACTGGGCGATGAAGTTCAAAAGATAGAGCAAGACTGTTCTGAAATGTGTAAAGGCACTACAGAAATGCAATGTAATTATGTGTAGTGAAAGAACCCTCACTTCCGTGGCAAAACTTAAAGAGCTATTACTTCGTTGCCTCCCACAAAAAAAGAAGCGAACACAAGCAACCCGAACTCGTTTGGCGAGACTTTTCTGAACTCCCAGAGAGGTGATTAGCAGTCTGGGGCGGGGAGTCAAGCGAATGCCAAAGGAGCCCGACGGGGCAGCTTCCGCTCTCGCCCCCCGCGGGAGAAGCAATGAGGGCTCAAAATCCAACCTCGCCGAACAGCCCCCCGGCTGAGGGGCCTGGGAGGGCGTGTGGACGCGGAGTGCTGGGCGCGCCGCTGCCACCTTCAACTGAGCCGCCCCTTGCAGCACCAGCGCCCCAGCCCACGGTGTGCCACGTCCCAGCCTCCGGCCTCCTCCCTCACCCCCAGACGCGGCCACATCCTCCGGAGGCCGCCGGACTCGCCCCCTTCCCGGCGCCCCTGGCGGGCCACACCTGGGACGAGGGTAGGGGATAAGCAGTTAGAGAGGCTGGAACGGCGGCCCCCGGACTGGCCGCCCCAGAACCCGGGCCCAGCCCAGTGGGGCCTCAGACACAGCCTCAGGGCCGGCAGGCTCCCCGGGGAGAGGCCTCGGGGCCGTTGGCCCGGCCCGGCTCCCTCGGGAGCGTCCCCGAGCCGCAGGCTCACCTCCAGTGTGTCAAAAGCGCATGTTCGCCGCCGTTCGGCCGACGTCTCCGCTCCGCCGGCCTAGCGAGGCCCGCCCAGCAGCTCAGCTCCGCTGCTCTCCGCAGAACCGATCTCCACTCCGCGTACCTCAGCGCCGGCTCCTCCCCGACACGTCAGGGGTTGCCTGGGTGCCACTGTGACGCACGGAGTCGCGGTTCGGGACATGCGCACGAGCGCGCGGGCGGCCTGGGAGGGGCTGTGGCGAAGATGGCGAGCTAACGTCAGGCTGCTGGTGACCTTCTGCGCAGGCGCCCCCGGACACAGCGATGGGCGGGGTTTGGGCCTCGACGGTTACCCAACACTTTGCCACTCGGGAAGGTGGCACCACTGTGGGTGAGCAACTGCTTCCCGGTTCCTTTAAGTGTCAATGTTTCAGTATTTCTTGTCCATAAGATGAATCTCGTCTCAGATTCCACCTCCGAGTCCGTCCCCGACCGCCCCAGAGTATCAGCGGTGTTTTAGCGCCCCCATCACCCTCACAAAGACCTGTGTTGTTTTTATGGCACATCCACTAGCTGAATTTTTATCCTTGTTCTCTTCCTCCAGTAGGATGATAGTTCCATGAGAGCTACAGCCTCTTAGGTCTCTGTTATCCCAACAGATAGCTTGGTCCTGGACACAAAGTGAGCACCCAAATATTCAAATATTTGTTGAATGAGTGGTTCGTTGAGGGCACCAAGAGAATAATTATGTCCATTTATATACTGTCTCTAAGTGTGTATTTATATAAGTGTGTGGGTGGGTGGGTTGGTGTGGGTGTGTTGTCATCCCCTCGGGCCGCCTAAAGGATAGAATCCATTTTACAGGACTAGGAATTCATTTTACAGTCATCGGGAAGGGAACTTGGAAGAAGGCTGAGGGGGGAGCAGCCCTGAAAGGGGAGAAAGGATGAGCAACTGCTTAGGGAATGGACACTTGAAGGAATAGAACTGTTTTAAAAACAGTTTTAGGAACTTCTCCTATGTGATGTACAACATACTTCTCTCTGATGTCAGTGCTCTTGGGGTTTGTGGGTGCTTTGAACACAATAATGATGTGTGTAGACAGGCCTCAAGGTGAGAGCAAAGTTAGCCTGAGAGGTCCAGTTTTTTTTTGAGGAAATGGACATAAAAGGGACCAATGCAAGATGGATGGTAAGAAGTACCCAATCAGTGAAGATCAGAGAAGTGATTAATGGGGCTTGGGGGAAGGAGGCACCTTTCCCATGCTGAGCTAGACACTGAAAGATACAGACAGGGTTGAAAAGACCACAATAATAATAATAATAATAATAATAATAATAATAATAATAATTCCCTTTTACTGCACCATTTGTATGTACCGGCAATTGTGCTAAATGCTTGGTTTGCATAATTTAATCTTTACTGACTCTGAGTGAGGTACTATTATTATTCCCATTTTCAAATGAGGTAACTGAGACTCAACAAGATGAAGTTGCCCAAGGTTAACTCAACTTGAAAAAAGAAGACTCAAGATTCAAGCCCACCTAGTCTGTATTGTCTAACTCCAGAAAGCACACTGTTAACCACGGTTATACTACTGCTAAGGAAGGGGTACTACTAGTAACAGTTACCATGGATTGGGCTGAGTACTGTGCCAGTGTTTACATACATTACCTCCCTCCATCTCCACAAGCACTTTATGAGTCTGGGATAATTACCTCTATGTTATATATTGAAAAACTGAGACCCAAAGAGGCTGGGTTTTAAACCCAAGCATGTCTTAGTCAAGCCCGATGACCCAGGACATTGTGGAAGCTCTTTCAGGCTCTGGAACTCTGCTTGCCTGGCTGCAGCTGTGCTCTGGCCCATGAAATTACACGCAGAGCGGTGATCAGGCAAGGAGGTCTCCTATGAACCTAGTGCCAAGATAGAACAGTCCCATCCCAAGAGGAAAAAACAAATAAAGGATTCAGCTCTCATCCCCGCCTCCTGGCTGATGTCATCCTTGAAAACACACTGAGTCACCTAATGGTAAGCCAGGCTGTCCAGAAGATGCTGGCATCATCTTCCAGGCCAGCACCTCTCCCACCCAGGCCAGACCCAGAGCTGGTGTATGTCAGGACTGACATCCTGGCCCCATCGTAATGGACTGTGCTTGGCAGGGCTCTCAGAGGTAGCAAAGCCCTTTCATAATCTCCTTCCTCTGTGTTGGTTGAACTTTCTCCCAAGTAACAATCAGCAACTTTGCCCCACTCTCTGCTTTCATATCCAGCCAAGGAAAGTAAAGGGGGAATGAAGACTCAAGGCAGCCTCTAAGGGGAAAAGATGTTACAAAATCACCTTTGTAAAGGTAGAAAAAGTGAGAGTTGCACCACCCTCTGCCTTCATAAACCATCAGAAAGGGATTTGCTGAGGCATGAGTCCCATTACAAGGGGTCAATGTCACAGTCACTGAGAGCATGCACTAGCGTTACCAATAGCCTGCTGGATACATCTGCCAGATGTCCCACCGCAACCTCCAGCTCTTCACATCTAAACCCCAAACGGATTCTCCTTTTGCCCCAGTGGAAACTTCCAAAACAGTTCTCATGTATCTGCCAATGGTGTCATCACTCCCCTAGCCAGCGAGGCACAAATGCCCCATCAAATCACCTTAGTTATCCCTTCCCCACCTTTAATTTCTCTCACATGGTTACTGAACCCAAAAACTTTCCCTTCATAAACTTTCACAAATAAACCCATTTTCCAGTATTGTCTCCCTGAATCTCCCCAGTCCAAAGTCTCCTTCTATTTAGCTGTCCTTCCAAACTTCTCTCCCTTGAATTTCTTCTAGCTCCAGCCCAGCAGTCCACACAGCCATCTAAATCCCACTGTGTACAGAGCACCACTGGCTCCAAAACTTGTTTGGGCATCCTATTGCTTTTGTGATAAACTGCAAAGTCTGGCATTCAAAGCCTTCCCTAAACAACTCCAACCCACTTTTACAGTCTACTTCCTACAGCTCACCTATCTGGTCCTGACCAGACTCTTCCTGATAGTTCCCTTGCTCTCTGTGCCATTTATTAACTCCCGCTGCCCTGTGCACTGCAGCTGCTCCCTAGGCTTGGCCAACCCATCTTCTTCTCTGCCTTTGAAGTCTCACTCATGTGGTACATCCTCCAGGAGCCTCCCCTGATGCCTAAAGACCCTAAAGATTCCTTCCTCTGAGCTCAAGTAGAGTGCCATATAGGTCACAGAAGAGTTATTAAACATGGCCTTTTGGTCATAGAGGCGACTGACCTCCCCAAAGCTCACTGAGCTCAGTGACAGTGTTGTCTGTCCTAATACCCACCAGCAATAGGCACTTAGCAAACACATTTTTTTTTTTTTTAGCAAACACATTTAATATGCTTCTGTGGGGAAAATGGAAGTTCCTTTGGTCAGGATCTTCACCTGATCCTAAACTACTTGATGATGTAATTGGCCTACTGCTAGGCTAATGCTTCCACACCTGTAGGCAATAAGCTAGTATTGACTGAGTCACGACATAAAGAGCTCTGCCCAGGGCAGAAGTAGAGATGGAGGTGGATTATAGACCTGCAGATGCTAGATGCAGACATGATTCTAGTGCTAGACCTACTACTAGCAGAATAAAGCCAGGTATAAACCCTTTTACCCCAAGAATGTTCCATTGTCATTTCTCAGTCTCACTGAATCCATAGTGAACCTGCCTGGGGCTGAAACCCTCAAGGCAAGACAGCTTCAACTAAAAGTGTGAAAAAATTAATGAATCAATGGTTTGCTGGTTATAACTCCAAATGCAAGACTGACAGCACTTTCTGGAAGATGGCCCAAATTCTGAGAAAAACTACCATACATAGGAGAAGATTTTCACTAGCATGAAAGGCTGAACTTAGGTGATGCCGGGATACAAAGGACCGCAGGGTGGGGTGGGGAGGGAAGGGGAGAGGATTCAGCTCATGTATAGTTAAGAGTTTTCTCTACCCAGATCTTAAACCCAGTCTCTAGCACCTACAATCCCCAAAGCAACATCCTTTGTTTTTGTAATAAAAAATAGTAGTAATAATTTTTTTAATTATACACTTGGACTTTGAGGTGAGAAGTGCTTTTATAGAAAAAGTCATTCATTCATCAACTCTGAGTTTAGTGCTTGCTCCATTTCAGGCACTGTTCTAGGCTTTGGAGATTCAACCATGCAACTATGAAAAGCCCACCCACCCCTACCCCCATGGAGCTTATATTCTAATGGGGAACACAGACAATAAGCCAATAGACCAATGTATTTGTCAGGTCCTGACATGTGCTATAAAGAAACATAACCAAGAAAAGAGGATAAGCTGTGGCAAGGGCTGCTCCCTGAGTGAAAATAAGACTTATTGTTCATGGGATTCTTTTTCTCCATTAAATTGTCAAGGCCCTTAAAATAAAGGGCTGTTATATAAAATGCGATGGAGATATGAAATTAAGAACATAGAAACATGTAGATGCTCAAAATAGAGGAGTTTATCTTACTTTCCATCACCGTGCCTGGTATAGAGTGGGCATTCCATGAATACTGGTTGGATGGTCTGCAGAATGCCAGAGGCTTCAACTAGATATCAACTTGCCCTTCCAAGATAAGGAATGGTACCAGTTCATGTTTGATTCAAAAATGCCCACTTCTGGTTGGTCCCTGACCCTTGACCGAGACAGCCATGAACAGCCCAGCCTGGTGTATTCCTGTACCACCTCAAAGAGAAGGAAAAGTTCCATTTGTTGTCTTTTATTGTATCCTTAGTAGCTTCTTGAACAAACAGTGCTGACCAATCCCTCAAAGCAACTCAGGCTCCCGAACCTTGCCCTTCTGTCAAAATTGCCCCCATACTTCAAACCCCAGTTGTCTGGAAGTCAATAGAAAGACAGGAATTGGGCCTGATGACTTTTCTATGAGGTGTTTTAGATCCAAACCTCATTGCTGTTCCCTCCCTGTCTATGGTGTCTGTCTGCAAATGCTGCCTGCTTCTGGCTCAAGGACCCTCTTGCAGGCCTCCAAGTGTAGCTTACTGAAAAGTGGCTCCTGCAGGTGAAAAAAATGAGGACAAATAGGTCAAGACTGTAACAAGCTATCCTGTCAGAGTCCTATCCTAGTTGCTGGTACCTGGAAGGAAAGGATCCTCATCCTTATC